CACATCATGGATCATATCATCCGAAATAATACAATAGGATTTGTGCTTGAGAATGCCTTCTTTTATAAAATAAATAATCAATGGATGAAGTGTACATTGTAAATTTGTCAAATGAAAGCTTTGCGCTTCATCCTGAACTACAAATTTATAGTTTTCTGAAAAATCACTCAGAAATAATGCTGTTACCTCATTCATATCTTCCTTTCTTGATCTCAGGTATAATGCTTGACTCTTTGCTAAATACAAATGTGGTGCAAGTTTTTTCAGTTTTCTACAATCTAGTTTAATGTATTCAAACACTGGGTCTTTATTATGTGTCAAGTTTGACCTATTTGTTGTTGTCCATTGATCAAATTCAATCTCATCACCATCTTCAAATTCTCCAAGTATATCATAAAGTTTTTCAACCAATGCATTCATAGTTGCTGGGCATTTCCTCATCATACAGTCTTTATTAGTTATATCGCAGACAATATAAGGTAACAATTCTTTGTATGTCACACCAAGAGGATATAAAAGCAGTTTCAAATTCTGATGAATAGCACAGACGCATACAGAATGTGTTCCTGAGGCACCAACAGTAATACACCATTTAGGTCGCAAGGTGCAAAACCTTGAAAACCCTATTTTTATTTCTGGGTTCTTGCATTTAAAGGCAACAAACAATTCCTTTAAATTACATAAGAGCAAACGTTTTTGCATGTGGACATTTTTCTTTATGCTTACATAGCCCTTTTTACCAGGCATTATACGGCTATGTTCATCGTGTTCGTAAAAGGTCTTGACCAGTTGAACTGTTACATTAGGAAGAACTTTTCCTAATTTAGGACTAGGCATGGTTAAAATACCTTTTTCTAATGTTAACTTACGTGCATTTCGAGCTACATAGTTTGTTACATGCAATGTTTCAGATACTTTTTTTATTGACCAGTACTTTTTTTAATGTTGATGTAGACTCTGCAATTTTGTTAGTTAACAATACCATCATGTTATCAAACAAGTTTGCTTTTTCCATATACTCATTATTAAAACTTGACTGTTCTTCAAAACTTTCTTCTGATATATTAAAAGAAAGGCTACCTTTTTTTAATGGAGGATGTTAATGCTGTCAATTTTTGTTTACCTTCTCTGATTTTACCTGACTTGTGCAATCCTTTGACCTTAATTGGAGATACTTCGGAAGATGCAAAGTGTGTATCTACACTTTCTTTTTTATTTTGAATGGATCTTTTATTAACAATATCAAAATCTTCATCATTTTTATTTTCACTTATACTTTTTGATAAACATGTCATAACTTTACTTCGACAGGTAGGACACAGTTTTTTTCCAGGTATAAGATTTAAACCTATGGTTTCTGCTTCTAACACAGTATGCATTGTAATCACACGTAGAGATGCTTAAAAAGAAAGTAATTACATTACTTAAATAACATTAATTATATATATTATGTAATTATATTACTATTACAATTTGTTATATTAATAACTATGAAACATTAAACAAATCTTATTACCAAAAAAACTTATGACTTATTAATAATGATATTACCTAATGAATTGTTTTAGATTTGTTCGTTTTTCAAGTAGCTTACGATTATTGCTGTCAATATCTTCAATCAGATTTCTTTCTTGAGTATATGATTGTTTATAACAAGCTCCATAATTATTTACAAAGCAGCAATTAATTTTGTTATCCATATAAAAATATAACGAGGAATCTCTGTCTAAACACTTAATACAAGAAATCTTAAATAATCTTAATGTCCCTAACAAAAAAAGTACACTTGAACACAAACAATATCATATCAATATGTATTTATAAAGAAAATATTGCTTGAACAAGTAGCTATTAGTTTAATAGACATATTTTAAATGCCTAACTATCTACTAATTATTGTAAATTCTCTATTAACTACTTACAAAAAGTTGTGTAAAAGTAAAAGATAACTAAATATAATTTTATTTAGTTATGTAACTTAACAGGTAATGTTAATTAGACATTATTATATCATTTTATTACTTTTTTTATTGATGATAATAAGTTTTTTATTACAACAAAACAATCAACAACAAAATTTACATAATACTGTTAAATTTAATGACATGATATTATGTAATGAAAATGACATTATTATTATGTAATGAAAGTAAAAAGAAACAAATTTATAAAATGTTCAACTATGTTTTGTAATAACTTTGTAAATTTTTTACAAAATATCTTTAGAAAAATTGAAAAACTAAAACATCAATAACTCCTTGATAAAACATAAGGCCAAATAAAAATTGGTTCGCAAAGTAGATATATGTTTAATATTTAAAATAACGAAAACCAAAACTTTTTTTCATCAGTCAGATTTTTTTTAGAACTATAGTTGTCAATGGCCTTTTTTATTGTCATTAACAAGTGCGTTTTGTGGATCTAAAAATAAACTATATTTTATTGTTTTGAGAGATATAAGTTTATGGTTTTCAGATTCAGCAGGTTTTAAACTCCTTTGGTACCAAGTTTTAGCTTCGCAACATTACTACAAATTTGTTATAAGGGTAATGGTAAATTGACATATTTCCGGCTTTATCCCCCCTTTTTTTTCAAAAAATAACTAACTTCAAGTTGCTGTAAATCTTAAAGGGTTGAAAATTTTTGAAAAAGTTTTGCAGTCTTTCCTAACTTATATCTTTAAACATTTGTTCCAAATTTCAGCGAATTTGGTCATGCAGGGTGTAACCCCTTGTTTTTTGAGGAATTTTTACCCTTTCTTCCCCTCAAATAGTTCAAATAACTTTTTTAAGCTTGATAAAATTACTTACAACTTTCAAGTTTTAAATTGTAGATGGATTTTCCAACTAATACTTATAAAGTCCTCTTGACCAGGGACTGACGAGAGCTTTTGACCAGGCAATGAGAGGTTTCACTATCTTCACAACAATCTTTAACTAAATAAATTATTTGATCTGGTACCATTTAACCTCGTTTAGTCTGTGGGACTGCAAAAACTCCTTTTTTTTTCTTGCTGAAGCTCTAGATTTTATTATCTGATGCTTTAAAACAACAAAATACTCACTGGCTGCTTCAATTGACCTTTTTTGTGGGCACAAAGTCAATATATAAAGCTTGTTCCTAAATGAATAGCAGTTTTCCAGTTTATCTTTTATTAAAACTAACTTTTTGTTGACTGAGTAACTTTTTAAAATAAAGAATAAACTTCATTATCGAAAAATTTAATTTCTCTCAATGGAGTTTTCAAAGAACTTGATCATTTTTCTTTGAATATTGTTGTAATAAATTGTACAATAATTTTTAAAAATAAAATGTAAAAATAAATATTTATTCCAGATATATTATTCAATCTATATATCACTGATAATTGAATCTTTTGTTTAAAGCTATTTTTTTATACTTAGCTTCTTAACCTGATTTTTTTGAGAAATCCTTAAATAAAAAATATAACTCAAGAAAAGAAAATGTGCATAATATCAACAAACATATATATTTTTTTATTTTTATTTTCGTTTATTTGAATTTCATGAAATGTTTTAAAATACAATGCTTTTATATCCAAAGATATTATTGGCTTAGCATAATAACAGCCTCAAATAGTCATAAAGACTTATCCAAAGTAGCGTCCATTATTGACCAACATATTTGCGTACCAAAGTACTACTCAAGCGCTGAGTTGGCGATGACTTAAACTCGTATACGAGTTTAAGTTTATAACTTGATAGCTCAGTTGGTTGAAGCGTCAAACAAAAATGTTAAAAACCAGACTGTTGTACTGTTGCTAAAAACCAGACTGTTGTACTGTTGTTAAAAACCAGACTGTTGTACGATATTTAACTATAGTTAAATATCGTACAACAGTCTGGTTTTAACAACAGTACAACAGTCTGGTTTTTAGCAACAGTACAACAGTCTGGTTTTTAACATTTTTGTTTGACGCTTCAACCAACTGAGCTATCAAGTTATAAACTTAAAACTATGAAAAAATATACAATATTTATGAAAACTTTATACCAAGCTTTACTAAACTTTGAATGGCCTTTGAATGGAATGGAATGGTTAGTTCTGAAATATAACGCGTTTCTCTAAGTAGAGTTTTTGGTAAAAAAAAAAAATGTTTATCATCAGAGTAAAAGAAGCACCAAACCTGTTGCACCAAGTGCTACCTGTTGCACCAAGTGCTACCTGTTGCACCAAGTGCTACTTCTGCTCCTCTGATACTAAATCAAAAAAAAGTTTATTCCAAAAGTTTATTAAATTTAAGATCTAACAACTTCAAGTATTGATTTTTGAACTCTTTTTTCAAAGGTTTTTGTACCATATAAATTTTGTAAACGCGTGGTTAATGTAACTGTGTATACTTGAATATTTCAGTATGTTATACACCTTTTCAAGATGTAATTTAGAACATGAAAGTTGTCATTAAAAAATTTCAATATTAGAACAACCGTAACGCAGTAGTTAGTGCGCTTGCCTCAGAAGCTAGATATCCATGGCTAAACTCCACCTCTGGGCTTTTTATAACATCAAATTGTAAAATGTAATTGAAAACACAAAAAAATTGTAAAATGTAATTGAGAAAAAACACTGAATATTTTAGGAACATCAACGGACATATCACAAAGTGTCATTAGATAACTTGATTTAATGAAAAACATTTTATCCTTTTTTATAAAAGAACAACAATAAAAATATCTTCAAAAGATCAAGATCAATTCAAAATGTAAGAAATATTTATAATATAGATTCTCAGAACAAAGTTCTTTGTATTTTTAATTTTGTTGCCTTAATTTACCTTGTATATTAAGGTTGGATTCTAATTTGGCCGTATGGGTTGATTTTCAATAAATAATAATATACTATCAATAAAATAAAAAAAAGATAAAAAAGCTTATCGAAAAGCTTTGTTTTGGAATTAAAAACGTTAATTTTATTGTAATGACCGCAGTGAGGTCATTGCGTAAAATAATGTTGTACTAAAATACTTAAAAAATACTGACGTTGTAGTTATCCAAAAATACTGACGTTGTAGTTATCCAAAAATACTGACGTTGTAGTTATCCAAAAAATGAACTTTAAAGAGTCAATGATTTTCATCATCTCAAAATCCACTAATGCCTTCTGGAATTACTTTGACTGAAAAAAAATTGTTTACGTTTGTCACATTAAACTTATATTTAACTTTATGAAAAGAATCAGTGATTATTTTATAGAATTACCATAACAATATTCTAAAGAATAGATTTATAAGTATGAAATAGAATAATTTTTTAAATATAACTTTTTTATAAATACTACCCCCGATAACATTTTATAGTTATGTTACGTCTCAATCATTTTGTACATTTGGTAACAAGGTTACATTTTCTCATTTTTAATTAAATAATAACTTGATGACAGTAAATATTTGTTTATCTTTGACATGTTGCTATTTATCTTGTTTCATTTTATTTTGATTGTAAAATTTGATTGTAAAACAGCTTTGTCTCAATAAGTAATTTTGTCACAACAAAAAAAAAAAAAACAAAGTTTCAATTCGCAACGCCCTACTACGGCCCAACTTAAAATCCGAATAGTTCACAAAAGTGTAAGCAATTGAGACGTAATATAACGTTTTTAAGGATAGATTTTCTTACGTAACGTTGCGTCTCAATTAACGTTTTAATTTGAGACATTCTATTATATCTGAATTAGTTTATTATTATGAGTAATTGGTTTATTCTTATGAGTTTTATTATAATAAGTAACCAATTGAGGCGTAATTATATATCATTTAACGTCGTAATTTAAAACGTCAATAGGGATGTAATTAAAAGAAATATACAGCCGCGTAATAACTAAATTTTTAATACTTCATCTAATTATATTATTAAATTTGTATATATATATATATATATATATATATATATATATATATATATATATATATATATATATATATATATGTATATATATATATATATATATATATATATATATATATATATATATATATATATATATATATATATATATATATATATATATATATATATATTGTTTTAATATCATATCTTGTTGTACGTGTACTTAAATATTTATAAGTAAAAACATAAAAGACGTATTATTAATGTTCTACACTAAAAATTTAATAAGATAATTAGATAAAAGAAGTATTAAAAACTTAGTTAGTACGCGTCTGTACACACAACATCTTTTCAAGATGTAATTGAGAACTTGAAAAGTTGTAATTAAGAAACGTAAGGTGCAATTCAAAACATGAAATTGTAATTATAAAACGTAAGATGCAATTTATAACATGAAAGTTGTAAATAAGAACTCGTAAGATGTAATTGGAAATACAATAGTTGTAACTAAAAAAAGTTTATTATATAGATTCTCAGATCAATGTTCTTTGTATTTTTATTTTTTTTTGACTTGTTTTAATTTACTTATAATAAAAAATATAAAGGTGTAAATTGAATTTAAACAATATCATTAAAGATCATAGTAATATTTAGTTAAACACCACCTTGGGCATCTTGCATATTCAAAATAATTACCTAATGTTGTTTCTACCGGATTTAACATTGAAATGCAGGGTCTTAAACGTTACAATTGAGCTAGATAATTTTCAAACGCCCTTTCCAAATGAGCGTGTAATGTAGCATTGTCTGTTAAAATGACAAATCCTCTAAAAGATTCCCGGATGTAATCCTCTGGTGAAACATAACCAACATTTACTCGTTACAAGATTCTGCATTAAATGATCCTGTGCAAGTTTTCTTCATTTTCCGACATTTGCTGTTAATATAGCTGCAATCAAATGTATGTTCGCACTTTTTGAAGTTGAGGTTTTTCATTATTGCTTTTCTTACCTGTTTGGCACGTACTTGCGTTTTTCTACAAAAAAGGTTAAAATTTGTTTCATCCAGCCAAAATATCTGATGACAATTTTTGATTTTTTCGTTGATGTTACTAACATTTTCAGCTCTTTTTTGTTTGCTATCATTACTGTTTCTTGTAGAAAGTACTTTGTGCACTTTTTTTTAATGAAAACAATCTGCCTTCGAGGTAATTGGCGGTTGTTGTTGTTGCGCTGACGCTAATAATAAATTGTCTGAATATTTTTGTTTTGATCTTCAGTCAATTTTTTTTGTTTAAAGCGACCGCTTTCGATAAAATTAAAATTTCCACTGCTAACCTAGTTAAAAGCTAACTTATGTTTGACCCCTAAATTTTGCGCCAGAGTTACCCAATTGTCATTTTGCTTAACATAATTAGCAACTCTTCTTCTGTCATTAAGTGAAAATAAAACATAATGTTTTCTTTCAAAGTGTTTGGTGGTATGTATTTCATGCTGACAAATTAGCAAGTTGGTTTTAATTGTTCTAGAAGCGGATGTAAGCTAATTTGGTGAAAGATTCAATTTAATAGCAGACTTTCGGGTCATAGAGTAATGACAAGAAACACAACGAGCTTTTAATTCCATTATTATTGCTGGTGCATACAAATACTTAATTTGATATTGTTAACTTATTCAAATTCATGTTCCAGAAACCTTTTTTAATGACTTGTAAGCTTACATTGTGAATTTCCAATTACAAATTAGGTATTCTTATTTATATATTACGATTTCTTAATTACAAATTATGTATTTTCACCTACATATTACGACTTCTTATTTACATGTTGTGTTTCTCAATTACATTTTACGATTTTCTTAATTATGTGTTGCATTTCTTTCTTACATATTACAATATCTAAATTACATGTTGTGTTTGCCAACTACATATTGTGATTTGTTAATAACAACATTCATGCTCTCGATTACATCTTGAAAAGGTGTAATGCAGTTTGAAGCGAGGTCTGGTTTCAAAGCGAGCTCTGGGTATATTTTGTGTCATCTGTAAGGAAGAGCAGGCGTAAACTTCCAAGTTTAATGCTCTGGCGCGGGCACCTAAGACAAAAAATAAAAAAAAACAAATAAATGATAAAAATAAAATAATAAAGCCCACAACCAAATTGTAAACAAAGTGTCAACCCATATTTTGTTTTTTATATTACATTTTTGTTTTACATTTTTATGTTACATTTTTATATTAGATTTTTGATTACATTTTTATATTACATTTTTATGTTTCATGTTTATATTACATTTTTACATTATATATTTATATTACATTTTACATTACGTTTATATATTACGTTTTTATATTACATTTTATTACATAACAACTTGTTATTTTTATTATCTGATTCTAATTTTTTTTATTTTTATTTCCTTGATTTTTTTCTATGATTTATTTTTATTATATCTTCTCTGTAGACATACATAAAGCTAGCTACGAGATACGTAATTTTTTTTATTTTTATTACCTTGATTTTTTTCTATGATTTATTTTTATTATATCTTCTCTGTAGACATACGTAAAAGCTAGCTACGAGTTACGTTTGGTACGTAAATATGTTACGTCTCGTTACGTAAAAATAACGGACATTTTGCACGTAACTTACCCTCAATTACAGTGTAATACGTAACGTTACATAAAAATGATATTGCGGTAAACAGTTTATAAATAACATCTTTTATCCTTTTTTTTCGTCCTTAAGCATCCGAATCTGATTTTCTGGAGTCTGAATCAAAATTAGATTTATTATCACTATTTGCAACAATCTTTAAGGAGCTGTGTTTTCAGTTCAAAAATATTTATTTTGACACCATTCATTAACAAGAAACTCAACAGTTTCTGCCTTATTATTTCCAACTGAAGAAGCTTATTACATTATTACTTCAGAGTTTTATAGAATCTGGTGATGGTTGTTTTTTTTCGTTCTGAATCTTAAATTGAATTTTCCATCAATATATTCAACATTTACGCAGTGTGCATTAACGTTTAGATTCAGTATTACCTTCAACAACTTTTGAGTAAAATGATCAAAATCTTAAGCTTTGGTTTTCGCACGTTTTAAAATAGCCATACCATCAATCAAACTATAAAATAGCCATACCATCAATCAAACTAACGATATATAGGAAAATTCATCAGATCAGGTTTTTTTTCTAGCTCAAACTTACTAAGTTGAACAACAAATTTTTCATTTGCAAATTCTTCATACATCAATTGCAATCATTTTTGCTAGGTAAGTGTAACCTGGCATTAATGTAATTGTCATAAGCAAAGTCATCAATCGCAATATCTCAAACAGGGGTGGATCTAGCATTTTTGGTGGTTGAGTTAACTTCCAGATATGGAGCAAAATCGAAACATTTATTTGTTTATACTTATATCAAATAAGGATGCTTTGGAAAAAAGGGGAGCTTGGGAAGATAAAAGTCCCAGAACATTTGCCTTCCTACCCCAAGCGTGAGAGCAACAAGTTGATAAAATCTTTTTTTTTTTAACTATCTTTAACTAAATTAATATTTATCGATAAGTTTTAAATTTCACACAATAATCTTTTAGCGTTCAAAAACTATGACCACATAAATATATATATATATATATTTATCTTGTGCCTGCATTTTTAAATTTGTAACTTTTAGTTTCTTTTTTATCCTGGCATTTTTATTGATTGATTTTAGTGATTGACCTTTTCCACCTCACAAAAACAGGTTTGAGTGTATTCTATTTTTAAAAGATATAGGATTGTAATTTTATTTTTAGTTACAAAACGTCATTTGTTTCTTTTGCTGTTTTATATACATTACATAAGTGTTATAAATATATATTGTGTTCTACCACAGAAAGCGTTAAAGTAGTCAATTTTCAATCAATTTTTTGTCAATTTCTAACAGATGCATATTGAAGTAGACACATAAAAATTTATCAAAAAATATTTTTTCATCATGAATTTATTTGTATTATCTAGATTATTTTTTTCTCGAAATGGAACTGGCATCTTCAATTTATTGTTGATCCAATACTTTAATGCTTTTATAAATAAAACTTCAAAAAAATTAACGAAAGAACTTTTTTCAAAGCAAATTTCATGTAACGTAAGTTAAAAGATACACAATGAAGTTTTAATTTTGCAAAAGTTTTGTTAAAAAACTTGAAATATTTTAAAATATATATTACTATGTGTATTGATGTTAAATTTTATTTTTTTACATTTAAAGTTTTGAATGAAGATGCTTAGTAAAAGCACGTTTTAATTTTGAATTGCATAACGAAAGTTAAACCTTAGCGAATTATCCTAAAAGTTTTTGGCGCTTTTTTATTTACACATTGAAAATAATATTTAAAATTTGCTGTTACTTTTTAAGAAAAAAAACTTTCTTCGATTCCATATACTTACATATACTTGTATAAATTTTGATGAAAAATCTCTTTGTAAGAGAGCGACCGATTATTTGTATA